GATTTAGTGGAGACGGGTCATTTTGACCCGGAGGACAAAGGGTGTATACAGAAAATGAAGACAACAGGAGGGTTAAGAATGCAGTGGCCCCATTACGCACAATCGAGACAATGAGAGGTCATAGTGAGTTTAGAGCATGCACGAAACTTCAGCAGCGAGGTCGTGGTTGGTTTATCATTGTGATAAGCATACCAGGGTCCCGGGTGTGGGGGTGTGGTGACAGGAGTCATAGTGTATCCATGATGTGGGGCCCACATGTACCAGCATGACTCAGCCGTGGAGAATATGAAACAAAACTGGCCATGCTGTCTTTATGTCTCATAATTGACACAAGGTGGTGAGAGACCAGGAAAGTTTTTTTTAGATGGGGGGGGGATTACCTGAAAAAAAATCCTATTTGGCAAATACTAAGAGCAAAGCAGTGTCATGAGTAGTTTTACACTAAATGAGATTTTTCAATTCATCATAATCCAGCCATGTTCTAAGAGAGCAGTGAGTTCATGATGAGTAGAGCAGGATCATTTATCTCTGTAAAAAGTGCTTTGGATTTAAAAAAAAGAGCATGAGAGCTTATCATTTGCTCTCATTGTTAGTTAAAACTAACAGTTCATGTCAAAAACCCATTTGGTTTGGTCATTAAAGACACTTGATTGATTTGAATAACTTGAGGGCATCAATTTTTAGTGACACCCGAACTCCCAAAAAGAATTGAAAACCTCATCCGGCCCATCTAATTAAAACAATCATACAAGTGTTGTGGCATTTTTTAGTTTTCCTAAGATGCTTTTCACGTAAAACTGAACACAGAGATTGGTCCAGTCTGTCTGTCCAATTGATCCTGGAGACAACTTTCTAAGGGTTTGTGAGTACAGAGTAAACAGACATAACAATATTTACTTTGGTACATTCTGTGAAATTACAAACCTGTTTGTGTTCGAATCCTGCTTGAGCGTGTATGAGTATGTACCACTGAGCATCAAAGGCACATAGGGGATGATTATATTCAGCTACAGTTTGTTTTCCATACTGTGAAGAGGAACATGTACAGTTTGTTCTCAGATAATGAGCGTGCACACACAGAGACACACATTTGCTGTAAAAGCAGCTGGTCTGTGTGGACCAGCAAATAGGATGTTGCATGCAGACACATGGATGTCAGGAGTTCTACAACCCCTCTAGGCAACGTCGTGACCACACACACACACACACACACACACACACACACACACACACACAC